AGCCAAAAAAATCACAGAAGAAATAATACGTGAACACTGGAAATGTACAGACACACACACACACACAAAACGACAAAAGTGATTATAAGGGCAATCCTAGCGGAGCGGATTGCCAATAAACATGAGTGAATATAGAAAATGTGTATAAAAATAGACACCAACTTAAGGGGTCCCCATGTTTGCTTTCTAAAACTTTGAGCCTATCACTCGAGTCAATCTCACAATGGATACCTTATCAATAAAAAGATAAGCAAAAAAAGTAATAAATACATGATTGCAGGGAATAATTGTGTGGCAGTTTTGCCAACTGGTTATGGGAAGAGTGAGTGTTTTATTCTTCCACCACTCACAGTCCCTCAACGTTGAGGGACTGTGCACTACTGTATCACATGACCGCCGAACGAGATTAAATTTATTCTGCGCCAGGGAGTGTGGGATGTCAATGGCTGCCGTTTTCTCGTAATTTGCTTGGTTTCCGCGGTAATTGTTTGAAAATAACACAAATTATTGCTTATTTATGAACACAAATTGCAAACAAAAGTTTGTATTAGTATGTTATTCATCCAGCGATCAATTCACAATAAAGGTACGTCACACCAACGTAATCGAAAGCAAAAGCGATTTAATTTACGTATGCCAGATTTCTGTTTTTAAACGGTGATAGATCCCGTAGCTCTATGTTCGACATACAACAACAAAAATAAAAACAAGACGTCCGAATGAAATTGTTAGGGCAAAATTAGATTGTATGTCGCGCCAAAGAGCTACGAAACCGCAGATAACTGGAGAGCTGAAATTAAAAAAAAATCAATCAGTACTGATTTTATTAATTTTTTTCCCTATTTTCAATGCTATTACTATAATAACATTAAAGTTATGTAACTTAGCCACCCTTAAATTAATGCATTTTAATGATTCCTTGTCTTCCATTCCTTACCTTGAATTGTAAAAAATAAATATTACTATGACGTCTTAGGATACGTTAATACCGGTAGTCATTCTTTCAATTGATAAGAATTGTTTTAATTACATTTTTTGAGATTTTATCAATCTCTATAAAATTGCCTCCAAAGAAATGCTCATTTAATTAGTACTGGATGGGTACCCTCACAGTTATTAAGTTCATTCATTTAGGAAGAGATGTTAAAATAGGTGAATTCAATACCATTTGTTCTCAAGTTTAATGAATGAAGGTCTTGTCAAGTCATAATTGTGTTTCCATTTTGGTGAAATTTTTTTTCCTCTCACATTTATGTATTGTTCTAAATTATTTGGTTTGCAATGTCCATGCCGCAAACTCTTGAAAATCTGGGAATTACAGGCTTAAGTCTTTAAGCAAAATTGCATTTGAAAAAAGATTTCCCAAAATAAGATTTTCAATAAAA